AGATAAATGTAAGAAAAGATTTTTGGGGCGGGGTAATATATAGTTTTGTAGTCCTTTTTTTTCATACGCCTCCAAAGTAGAGCCGGGTTCCACTGTAAACATGTAAACATGACGGAATTAATTTGTTACAGACCCAAAAGCCAAAAATAATACTCCTTCCGTCCGGAATTACTTGTCGGAAAAATGGATGTGTCTAGAACTAAAATACGTCTAGATATATCCATTTTCCCGACAAAAATTTTGGGACGGAGGGAGTACAAAAAAGAAGATATGCTGTTGACAACGTTAACAACCAACAACATACAGTAGAAGTTTTGCTACCACGCAGACACCATAACAATTAACAGGACAGGTGACAAGAAGTCTTCCAACGGCAACCTAATTTGACCAGGGCAGCCCATGCAACGAGATATGACCAACAACAACCAACTTTCCCCCCTTTCAGTAGATGCTTTTGATATAAGTAGTTTCGTAGTTCTAGTGTCTTCTACGGATAAATATATTTTTTAACAATGACTTGTACAATGCACACATGCACGATCTACATACATCCTCCCTCACGGTCACTTGGGACGTGTTTGGTTGCCTGCATATACCTCGACCAAGCCTGCGCGGGAAGGATCTAGCCTGCTCGGTAGCCCGCATATACTATTGGTCCTGCATCGCACGCTTCTTAAAGCACCTCTGCCCTGGCTCGCTAGGAACGCTCAATCGACAGTTTCTCTCGAGCCAGGCCGAGCGGAAGCGCACCTAGCAGGCCCCTGCCCGAGGAAAAAGGGAGAGATGCGAGATGTTTATGTGGTGTCTTCTTCAACCTGGAGTAAGCTCCTCTCTAATCTCCTCTCTTCCATGCCCCTCTAATCTACACAACGATGCTTCGATTCGTGGTAAGCTCTACACGAAAAAGATGCACATCGATGCTACGGTCTATTCAGGCGATCGGTTTGTAGTTTCGTCTACCATACATGCTCAATTTCTTGTTCCAATTTGAAGTTGTTTCGGATGGATTTTGTCAGATTCGTCGCGCACGATCAACTGTTTGAAATTTTCTTTGACCAGCAGCCTAATCTCGCAATTCTACACAACATTCGTGTTGCAAGTTTTCTGCCTCGACGATCGTAGACGAGAAGATCTACATATTTCTCATGGCTGTACATATGGATATGTGTGCTATGATTTAAGACACTGCTTAATTATTCCTCTAGCCGGCGTGGTTTCTCTTGATCTCCTATCTGGCGTCTTGCTGTGGTAGCGTCATCGTCGCCGTCGTTCATCTCGGCCTTCTCTCCATGATTCTACTGCAGTTAAGCCACCATGGCGCGCACAATGACGGGGTTCTTCTCCTCTGTTCTCTGCCACCGACGGGGTCGATCATCTTGGCCTCCTCCTGACCTTCTCTTTCTCGTCCTACTACACGGGAGTCATTTTCGGCATCGATCATCTCAGCTCCTCTCTCTCGTCCTACTACACTGACGATGCCATGGTGTGAGCACCGCATTTCTCCTCCTCTGTCCATTGTCTTTGCGCGAGCACTCCAACTAGTTCGCCGACGGGGTCGCTCGCCCATGACTCCGTGCTCGTCATGTTGGACACGGCGCCACGATCACTGTCCATCGCAGTCGTCATGGTCCGGCGCACACTGCATTTCTTCTCCCCCTTCGTCTGCTAGCTCTTAACCCTGTGTGCTAAGTGCGAGTGCTAGCTCTTACTCATACCCCATGCGGGCAACCAAATAGCGTGTAGTTCTATGCGCCGAGACAATGCAGGCAACCAAACAACATGCCAAAGTTGATCCCCTAATGCAGGAAGTCCATATGCAGTCAACCAAACAATTTGCAGATGTCGCATATGAGGCTGTTTTTCCAGAGTTGGGCTGGGTTGAGATGTGTATGTAACGCGGGTACTGTTCAAGACTGCAACCAAACACGCCCTTATAGCATGGTCAAATACACAAGACGTCTTTCTCAAAAGAAAAAAAAAACACAAGACGTCAACACCCCATCAAAACAGAAGTGCGCAAGATGATTGGTCATGTCTCGTTGGAAAAAAATGTAGCTGCAGTGAGTTTAGCCATCGACTTATCATGATCGCAACTGACACTGACATGAATACACTGTTATGAACATAACAATCCATGGAAGTCTTCCAGACAGACAGGGAAATTAAACTAAAAATCACAAGCGCGCAGTTGCTCCTACCCAGCCATAAACAAACCAGAGTAGATCGAGCGATCCAAAGCTGCACTGATTGCTGTTTGGTTTTTCGTATGCGAATTAATGTGCGTCCGAACAAGAACAATGACACCATACGCTCTCTGTCGATCTGTCACAAGTCACAACTGTTCCAAAATTTACATCCATTCTCCGCATTGTTTCTTATTCCGAACAAATTGATATCCAGCAGCTTACTTCCCTCCTTGTGGGCTTTGGGGAGGTCACTGGCCTCGTGACAAATCTGGGAAAAACCATGGTGGCTCCAATTTGAGGCTCCAAAATCGACCTTGACGATGTCCTTCATGCTTCCCTGCAGCTCGCTCCACCGTCCCCATGCGCTATCTCGGCCTACCCCTCTCGGTCCATCGGTTGAGGAAGATTCATCTGCAGCACCTCGTGGGTAAGGGCATCTCCATCCGTTGGCCTCCCCAGGAGGCGTTTTTTTCGCCGCCTGGGGGGCTGCCGGCGAAGATTTTGACCGTGGGACGAAATTTTTCCCAGCCGCCCCCCACCCAAGACGCATTTCGAGGACGCGTGGCGGCACCGCAGCTCGACACCGTGCTCCCTGCCCCGCCGTCGCGTTCGACGCCGCCGAGAAGACCTGGGCGCGGTGCTGTGGCGCCCCGGACCATGGTGCCGAGCACGCCCGTCCGGCTGCTGGTGCATGCCAGGCCACGCAGAGGCGGGCGCGGGCGCGGGCCGTCCCGGCCACGCCCCGGCGGGCGCGGGCGAGCT